TCCAGATGATCACATCCCAAATAAGACAGAGAAACACTCCGTTTTCATTTACTGCTCTCTGTAAATAATGCACAGCGTTAGTGGCTAACATGCTGCTCATTACATTTTCTTCCCCAAAGAGAATTAACTGATATTTTCAAAAGCATCAGGCCACAAACACTGAGAGTTACAGAAGTATCAATTGTCTCAAATAATCCTTGGGGGAGAAGATGCATCAGACATGCTGACATCCATATTAGTATTTATCCACAGTTTTCATTCTGATTCTTCATCTCATTTCCCTTCTTCTCAAGTGGTTAGAAGGACTGACAGAGCTGCTGTTTATTAATGTATCTGCTCATAGTCCTTTCACTCCATAAAACAAGCACAGAATGGACAAGCCTTCTCTTCCTATGAAGTGTGTCCACCATGTGCCAGAATTATCCAGTGGACTTTACAGGAATATCAGAGTCCTACCACAAATCACTAGCAATCTCTCTCAATCTAGTGTCTGTGCAGCCAATTTTATCACTGTATCATCCACAAAACTGTCAACACAACATCCAGAAAGTTGAAAATCTCATAAGAGAATTATACTATGTTAATGTCTAGTTAGACTGAAAATATTCACTTGTTTATATAACAATCAATGCTGCATGCTTAATTACTGTTTACAGCATCGAGAAACTGAAGAGACTCTACCTCCTCACCAATAAGACACTGTTTAAATTGTATTACAACCAATATCATAGATTCATCCAATTTCTTATTCTACTTTTTACCCAAGGATATGTCTATTATTTGGTCAAAGTCATAAAAGTCATTATTACAATATAGAATATATAAGTGAGCTGCTTTAGTTTTGCTTATATTTTTCTATATTTAATAAAAAAAAATGTTCATGGCTGTGACTAGACCCATGCTAGAATAAAAGTTCAAAAGTGGCAGCTGTATGTCACAGTAATCATCTGTGAGAACAGTGGGCCCCACACTTCCAGCAAATGAGAATTATTATGTAATAAGCTAAGAAAATACCGTCTTTAAAAAAAAAAAACCATTTAATTGAATGCCCATGAATGAGTATGGTTAGTAAAATGATAAAAGTGGCTTATTTGACTGTACTGTTATGAATCCAAAATAAGTAACAAGTTTGGCCTTCAATCCAAGACCAATCCTTACCTCAGCTGGGTGGCAGAGGTAATATGTTGGGCCTATTCTCTCCCTCTCGGGTACAATGACAGAAAGCACTGTTCTGATATGGCCGTCACTATGTGCCTGGGACTGTCCCAAGTACTTGACATTGAAGAGCTCACTTGGTCATAAGACTTGAGGCAATTACTATTATTACACACCTTTTTAGAGATAATAGAACTTCAGAGAATTTAAATAACTGCTCAGTTCCTCAGTTGATAAATGGTAGAGCCATAATTTAAACCCATCCAGAAGTCTGGCCTTAGGATGTGTGTTCTTGCAAGCACAAAGAATGATTATTATTAATTGCTCTTGCTGCTGTACTGCAGTTAGCAAGAGAAAATGCACCATGGACTGTTTTCAGAGTACAAGTCTACATTTTGTTTTTAAGATGAAGACTATCTTACTCATCAATGAGGTATATATTTAAGCAGTGTTTATTCTTATACAATAATCATATTAGTTTGCTTCAGGACTGTTAGGAAGGGAGTACAAATGAAAGCTCCATCACCTTCTCCATGAATGTATATGGCTGTATATGTAATGACTATGCCTAGAGGACATCCAACAATGAGGACCATCGGGGCCCCCAGCATATATAGCATCACTAACACCAAACCTGGGGAAGGAATTCATGTTAGTTTAACCAAGTGGAGAAAGCTGTGTATGTTGATCATCTCTGAAGAGGATGGGTATTATACTATATGTTCATGCATGCTATTGCATTTTGTTATTAGAACAACTCTCTGAATTTGTGTTATTCTCGGTTTAGAGATAAGGTCCCACAATGAAATACTACTATACACTTACTGGAAAGGCCAGAATTCAAAACTCAGAGAGAATCTACTGCAGGCGAGATGTGGAACATAGCAATTTTCTTCATTGCTGGAGGGATGCACAGCTAACTTAGATGACAGTTAAACATATTCTAAGCACACTGTCCAACACATGCTCCTTGTTACTTATTCAAATGAGCTGAAATCTAGCTTGACACTAAAACCTACACATGGCTGTTTATTCACACTTGACAAAACCTGGAAGCAACTAAAATGCTCCTTAGCAACTGAACGGATGGGTAAACAGTTGTAATGGCAGACAATGGGATATTAGTCAGCCTTAGACAGACATGAGCTATCAAGCCACACAAAGATAGGGAAGAAACTTAATTGCTTATTACTGGGTTGAAAGGTAAGTTTGTGTGAAAACTACACAATGGATGGTTCCAACAAGACTAAGTAAAACAGATCAGTGCACATGGCTGGGGAGGGAGGGATAAATGAGCAGAGAACAAAGGACTTGAGGGGGCAGTCAAGTTATTCTGCATGGAATTATAATGACAGAGACCCACCATTATACATCTGTCCGCATTCACGCAATATACAACACTGAGACTGGACCCTAGTGAGTACCCTGGATGATAATGATGTCTTAATGTAAGAACATCCGCATAACTAAAGTCCTCTTCGGGCATAGGATGCTGATAATATGGTTGCTGTGGTGGGATGCATGGGAAATCTCTACTTTGTGCTCAATTTCCCTACCAACTGAAAACTTCCCTAAAAGATGAATGGTGTCTTTCCAAAAGCAACCTCCAAAAGCACCTCACTCTTTTAAACAAGACAGGGAGGGAAGGAAAGGGGAGGGAGAGAGGGAAAGGCTCCATTAAGTCAGAATTCATCAAGTCAGAAACCGATAAAACCTGACTTCAGCTATCACCAAACACCTCAGTCGAGATATTTCAATTTTTCTTTAGTATGTAGATAAGCTATAATATTGTTACCTAGAATTTTCTGAATTCTGATATCTTTTTATACTGCAGGAATTCGAGTGGCTGATTAGTTTTGCAGTCAAGAAGGCAAAATTACCAGCTCAAATACAAAAGTTAAAACCTCTTATGGCTATGTTTTCATTATTGGGGCAATTGTTCTGTGCTTGGGAAAATCCTCTTAGATGAGTCTTTTTTTCTGGAGAGAACAGGTCTCTGCATTAAGCTGAGTGAGCAACAACCCCCTGTACATGAGAACGAGAAGAGTTTTGAGTCTGTTCTTGGAAGCATCAGAGTCAGGGGTTAGACTCTGAACCTAAAAAGAAAGAGATAAGGGAGACATTCCCTTAAAGAGACAGTCGCTCTGGGAACATGATACCAGAATCAGAACTAGGAGAGAACTGGATGGCAGAGAGGGTAAATAGAGAATGGGAAGAGGAATGCCGGAAGGAAGAGCATAAGCTATAATGGACCTGCTTGTGATAGGAAGACAAAGAACCTAGGAACACTCGCTTAATTGACAATTTTGAGTAGATTCTCATCTGGGTATGAATTCCCTCTTGGTATACCACTGTCATCACTGAAAGATGACTGTGCAGTATGACTGTACCTTAAGTTACACACATGTGAAGTGGGATGGGAATAAAGATAGGACCTGGAAAAGAGAAGCCCGCAGTACATCATCAGAAGCAGGTGGGAGCCAGCAGAGCCCAGGCAGAAGATGCCAGAAGAGGGTGATGCCTGGAGGAGGCAGCAACAGAACACAGGTAGAATATGTGACAGGAAAGATCTACACTGGTACCTTCAATGCCACTTCCTGCAAGAGGCCTGTCTGATTAATAGAGCAACACTTGCCAACATTCATGTCTCATTGGATTTTTAAATAGCACTTGTCACTGATCACTTATTTTATGACTTGCCCATCATACAGTCTAGTAGTTCTCAAGTGACAATGATTTTGCATGCTGGGTTACATCTTACAAATTCTAGCGACATTTTAGATGTCCTAACTGAGGGTGTTCGACTCAAAATAGGGTGGTAAACATCAGAGATTCTACTTCTTAGTATGTACCAAGCACCCTCCTCCAGAGCAAGAATTGCCTACCACCAAATACCAATAGTTCAAAGACTGAGAAATACAACAGAAGAAAATTCTCAAAGGAAAGAGATGCTGACTTGTGTGTATCTGCAACACTCGTAGTAGGGCACAGCACATAATAGGTAGTCAGTAAGTAAATCAAAATGTTAGACATTAAATCTTTTTTTTTTCAGCTTACAATAAGAACCAGCATACAGTTCCAGCTACATGTCTGTCTTCCAGTTTGCACCAGAGAAATGGGAAACATGGAAAGATCCCCCTCCTAGGCATCCTGATCAGGAGAGCTGCCTCCATATGATTTCCTGTCACTTAGTTTACACATATGTGAGAATGGGATTGGAGCAAACAGAAATGTTGCAGGAACTATACCAGCCATTTGATTTGAGCATGTCCCACTTTTAGCTTAAATGATTACAATGTACCTACAATCTGAATAATGAGTTCTCCTGAGTCTGTAAACCCAGGGCATCCCAAACCCCTATAACCAAGAACATTCAGACATCAGGCAATGCTCTACCTTTTCCCACTGGTACCTGACCACTCTTCCAGGAATGCTGTCTCTATTTTGCACTACGGACTGTTTTAAATGAAATCAGTAGCAATGTGGCACAATTCCGCACATCTTTCCAGCACCCCAAAAAACCATAATTCATATTTTAGAATTTAAAGGAAAAACAAGACCCTTAGTAATGATCTAAAAGGGAGAATGCAAATTCAATGATATAACACAGTTATTTTCAAATAACTTAAAATTTTCAAGCTTAAAATGTTAATATTATAAGGAGATGGGAATCTTCATTTTCATATGCCTGCTTACTTGGGAAAGCCAGATAATAGTTAAGAGAAAATGCTTTTAGGTTAACCATTAACAGATTCAACCATGGCAATCGTGATGCTGTTCCAGAACATCACTAGTCCATGCAACTGGCCAAGGCCAAGACTTCACCCAATGCTTGTTTGTGTTACCTGGTTTTCTTGTTGGTCCCACAGACACAACTGTAGAACCTGAGCCAGTTCCTGCCGCTGTTGCTGCAAGTTCTTGACCAACTGTCTTCTCCTGTCTTGTAGAAGTTCAAGGAGGCTGTCGATCTTCAGACAGCTACTCTGAGCTCCCTGAATCAGCTCAGAATTCATATTAGATCCATCACACTTGAATTTTTCTATGAAGTCAGTGAGTTGTTGACTTTTGTTTAAAAGGACTAGGGATCTTTCTAAGAGTTCTAAAAGAAAATTAGAAAGAAAAAAATGTAGTAATGAGCATTTGTGTAGTTGTATTTGCATTGTTCATATAATTTATATGTATAACATTAATGATAAGCTACATTGAAAAGAACTTAAATATATAAACATTTTAAATGCTTTGCGATTTGTATGTTTTTTAAATCCCATGTGATCAAACACATATGTCTTTCAAACTGATCACCAGTTAACAACCTCTGTAGTGATTGTATTGTATACTATAAAAATGGGATTTAAATTCTAAGAACTGAAGAACCACCAGGAGCAAAGAGTATTGACGAGTAGGAGTTGAGAGCAGTGCTTTGAAGATCAACACTTGAATATCAGTTGGAGAAACAGTTAAGAGTATGTCCAGCCTCCACAAGCCAGGAATAGAACCAGGAATCATCTGTGATACACCCCTCCCCTTGTCTCACATTCAGTGACTTGTCTATTTTACACTCCCTTCCTACTTCCTGCATCCATCTACTTCTCTCCATCCCATGATGCAAGTGTCGGTACCTGGACCTGTATGACCCACTCTTGATAGCATCCACTCTAACCCACTCATCAATTCTTCACATTGACCCTCTGAGATCTTTTTAAACACATGTTGTAGTATTTGGTATTTCCCCCATGTTGTGATATGTGGTATTTTCCCCAAATTGAAATACTCCTTCCTGAAGAGAGGAGGAAGGCTTCTAAGATTCAGGAAACTAAAATACTTATGAGGTCCAGGAAGGTCACTAAACTTACAAGATCCAAAAGCTCATAAGATCCATAACCTCCTCCCCACCCAGGATTACATGAGCTATAAATAATTATCAAGCAAGAGTCTTCTCAGTACATCTTCTTGCAAACTGCAGAGAGCTCCAGGAACTCACTTTTATGAGTCATCACCCATGTTGGGGTAGAGTCCTAGGAGATGCTGCTGCCTTTGAGTCATCCATGCTGCTGTAAGTAACCCCAGTAGACTTATTGTTTCACCAAGCTGAGTGGAGGAATATTTTCTTCAGTCTATCATCAGTGCCCTATCTAAGATGAGCAAGCATCTGTCCACATCTCCTCAGGAGACATATACAGCATATGTCTGTCCCTCTCTCCTTCTTCTCCATATTCCTCTACCTATTTCTACCTTCCTCCGCCTATTCCCCTCTTCCCTTCTCTATATCACCCTCCCATTTTTCCTCCCTTCCTCTCTCAACAATGGCTTCTTTGCCTTAAAATTAAGGGCTAGATTCCTTAAAGTAGATTATCACATCTAACATGACCTAATTTCTGTCTTCTTTTTCCAAAAGCCTCAATCTTACCTCTGTAAATTCTTCACATATCTATACTTTCTGCTGCATCTCTATTCTCCCCTACTTCCATTGTCAAGGATGCCATTCACTTCAACTCCCTTTATCTCTAGAACCTCTATCTACTCACATTTCAGCCCTATCAGTTGTCCTTAAAGAATAAACTGAACTAAGGCCGGGCGGTGGTGGTGCACGCCTTTAATCCCAGCACTCGGGAGGCAGAGGCAGGCAGATCTCTGTGAGTTTGAGGTCAGCCTGGTCTCCCAAGCGAGTTCCAGGAAAGGCGCAAAGCTACACAGAGAAACCCTGTCTCGAAAAACCAAAAAAAAAAAAAAAAAAAAAGAATAAACTGAATTAAATACTCCTATTAAGCATTTTCATTGTGCAATATTACTTTCACTCATAACTCTTATCTTGTCTATAATATTACAGCTGTGTGTATGGTTATTTGCCTAATAATGGCCCTTGCCACTAACCCCAGTGCAATATGATGACAGGACCCTGGGTTCCTCACCAGGAACTGTTTCAGAAATGTTATTACATGTCACTAAATTCAAAAGAGAAGATTGGAAAGTAATCAGGAAACTGTTTTCTGAAGAAATACTAACAAGTCAAGGTTAGATCAAAAGGAGAGAAGACAGTTGAGGCTATGTTAGTCTTCAGCTATCTAAAGCATTCTACTCTGGTGGAACATTCTGGAAGGCAGAAACCTCAACCAGTCACCCTGTTCTGACCCAAGCCATGAGACCCAGTGGTCACATAGGTGTTGCTAAAGAAGAAAAGGGACAATTGGGGCAGTTTCATCATAGCTTCCAGATATATTTTGTCATCATGACATTCACTTTTGTACCACTCTACTACTCAACAACTCAAAATTTTATTAGAACTGCCAATTCATATTTTATTCTCTTAAATTTAATGATGATGATAGATACAAAGCCCTTGACTAGCAATCAGAAATTTCATCCATTAATATGCACTTCAAATCATGTCATCTTAACCACATCCCACTAATCGGCTGATTAGTATAACTCCGATTTTATAAAAACAAGGCTCTTGAGGCCACCATTGGGCATTATTCATTAGGATCCAGTTCTTCTGATCACTGCCCCCTACAATCTTTCAAGTATCACACAGAGAGGCTTAAGAACATCCCAAAATTCATGCCACCAAAGACAAAGTATGCTCCTGGTGTTCAGCCAGCGTTTTATCCATCTTGTCAACCCAAGAGGAGGCTTGGTAGACTCTCAAAGATTACACTGAAAAGTAAGGCATGAGTCCGTTGTCAGCTGGATGCCAGAGCCTCAGGCTTCCTTTAAAAGGCAGTGTGCATCTGTGTCAGCTGGCTTATTGTGTCACTGATGCTGTTAAATTTGAAGAAGCCAGCAGAAGCAGAAGCAGAAGGAGGAATACAAACACTGTCTCCTCTTCCAGCTCCAAATATTTATGGAAAAGTCCCCACTTCCACAGGGTAAAGCTCCATGAGTAAAGTTGCTGTGGGATAATCATGTTGGCCAGGGGAGATTGACTTGTGATCATAAAACCCATCATGGTCACAGGACTCGATTCTCTTCCAGCCCCCTATCAGGAATTTTAAGTGATTCAGCTCAGCCCCAGGGGACCCGCTAGATAACTGCTGCTGTGTCAGAACAGGCAGCTGATGCTTTAGTGCTGAATCTCCTGTTACACTTAAGATCTCATAGTGACAGGTGTGACGGACAAATCATCAGGAAAAAATACATCTCTACACATGGTTGGCTGCCATAAAAATTTACACTGGAAAGACTGTTATTAATCACTTTATTTTGGGAAACTTGTAGCAAGTGATTAATAATGAAGAGCTATTTTATAGAGATTTTGGAGAGCAATATAAGTTGTGTGTGTGTGTGTGTGTGTGTGTGTGTGTGTGTGTGTGTGTGTGTCTTTAAAAATACACTTTATTACTTTATCCATGTTCTACCTTTCTAACATGATCAAACTTTTGGGGGATCAAAGTCAATTTAAAAGTGACAGAGGCTACATAGAGCGAGTCTTCGTCTATAAAAAAAAAACAAAATAAAACAAATAATATCAAAATTTGTGACAAATCTATGAAGCCATTTCACTTAGACCCAGTTCAGATTAAAAAAATACATTACAAAAAAAGAAGGAAACTTTGCCCACCCATTTATTTACATTATTTTCCTTACAGCAGTCAGGCTAGTCCCAAGATTCTTGTGGTGAAGACCTGGCATATAAACTATGCTCTAACAATTCAACCATTGCTACTAGATATTGAGAGAGTTGAAAAAAATCTGCATAATGTTTTATTGGAATTTTATCTGGAAAAAATTCCTGTTCTTTTTCACTGTAATGATGGAAGAGGAGTTTTCCTTCTACACAGATGATGTTTCAAGGTTGGTTTGCATTTATTTACCCTTAGATGGAACACTACTGAATTCAGTCAGTGAGTGTAGCTTAAGGGTCCACGGTACTGAGCAGCTTGTGAGATGCTGGATGTTGGGGATGGGGAGTAAACTGGATGCTGGGGATAGAGGGGTAAACCGAATGCTGGGAATGGAGGGGTAAACCAGATGCTGGGGATGGAGGGTAAACCAGATGCTGGGGATGGAGGGGTAAACCGGATGCTGGGGATGGAGGGGTAAACCGGATGCTGGGGATGGAGGGTAAACTGGATGCTAGGGATGGGGGGTACACAGGATGCTGGGGATGGGGGGTACACAGGATGCTGGGGATGGGGGGTACACAGGATGCTGGGGATGGAGGGTACACAGGATTCTGGGAATGGAGGGCTGAACAGGAGAGAGGCAGCCTCTGCCCTCAAGGATGATGATCTATGATACCTACAGCTAAACTTCCCGCAGGTCCTCTACCTTCCCCTAGTGCTACTTACAGCTAATGCTTTCTTTGAGAAGGTGGCCAAATGAAAAGCTTTGTTCATCTTTTTTTAAAAGAAAAAAAAAGAAAAAAAAAGAAAAAACTAAAGTATAAGAGCAGAAAATCTCCAAATACTGCCATTCACAAGAATCTATAACCATTTCTTGCCTTTGGCATGGCGGTCATGAAGCTGAAGAAGTGACTGTAAGGTCTCCACGCTCCCAAACTCATGAGGATTCTGCAGGAAAGCTTCAGCTTGGTCTATTTTTATAGCAAACTATGAAAAAAAACCACAGGGAAAGACGTGAATATGATAAAAACCAATGGAATACTTTATTATATTTATGGATTGTTCTCACACATTAATGATCTAGCTGACACAATATGAGGGGACTCAATATGACACATCTGTGTGCTAGCATGTTCTAATCTAGGATAGTATGCATGTATTTACATGTACTAAATTTATAAAATGCCATGGTTTCCCCTCCATTTTTATTTCTTTTCTAACTAGAAACATATTACGTATGCTAAAATAAACCATCTTGTTCATGTTTAAATATCTAGTAAGTTCTTCAGCCAATATTATCTTTTACAGATTATATTTTCCCTATAGCCAAAAACTCAGTAACTATCAATACTCTAAGGTAGGTTCTCAGAGAATAGCCAGAAAACTTGCTGACAAAAATCAACCAAAGATTGGCTAACCAACAATCTATAAACGCACAAGTAAATTTAACTTAGAGAAAAATCTAATTAAATGTTGTGTGTTTCTTTTCCTCTGTGTGTTTAAACATAGACACAGAACATTTATAGATGTCTGTGAATAACAGTCTAATATCATCGAAGAAAACACACTCAGACACACATGTAAAGGGAGAGGAGATGGGGTCTAAAAATAAATATGCCGACTTGTGAATTTTATAAGAGGGAGTGTGATCAGAGATGAGGGAGCGGAGGCAAGCTCTAGCTTTTGAAGCTTTAATCGCCAACCTTATTTGAATTATGTCAATAGTATTTGTGCCTCATTTGTATAAATAAAAATGGGATTGGCTGAAGCCGACATGAAAACTAGAACATTTCTCCATTTCAAAGGAGGGTGTATAACACACCAATGGTGGCCAATACGGTCAATTTCATTTTCTGAAATTTTTCCTTCAAGTAAATTTGAGATGAAAAGATATTTGAAGTTAGGAAAAAATCCCCAGGGGGATAATCTTGAACATAAATTTTAGGTGGGAGCAAAGCATAGTTAAATATCCTATTACAGTGTCCCCATGGTGGCAGACAGCTGGTGTTTTTGCACCAAGGTTCAGTGAAGGTTATAGTCTGTAAAGAGCATGGTAAAATGTTCACCTTAGGATTTAGTTTAGAATAAAACAATAAAGGCAAAGTATCCATGAGAAAGACAAAGAAGCCCCCCCCCACTGCACTTGACTTCCGGTTTCGCTTTTTCTAAAGTATTGTCTTTGAATTTGGTGATTGCTAATACTTAATGAAATCTGTTGACTAAGAGGATGTATCACATTTTGATTATGACAGCAGCTGCAGAAAATGCAGTTCTAAGTGGTATGGAATGATGAGAGGTGACTGGTGAGCCTGTCCCCTCTGAAAAGCACAGAAGGCCTCTGCCATCTTGTAGGACAAGCTAATGGACACTGGTCACTGTCACTCAGCTGTATTGTTCCCAAATCACAGCAGTGACTGAGAAGACCCTCATGTGGCAGTTAAGCCTAGGAGCCAGATGCTATCCTATAATAACCACCAACCAACTCATAACATCTCTTAGAACTCTAAAGAAGTCTGGCAAGGTTAGTTATAGGGGATTACATACACACAAGTGTTCACATCTCTCCTCCATTCAGATTCTGAGAACTGATTTTTAAAAATATCATTCCAAGAGAATCGTCAAAAGAGGAAAACACCATAGGTTATTTGTTGTTCTCCAGTAGAACATTGCAGACAGTTTATAGCCATGGTATAGTTTATATCTTTATTTCAGATTCTTACTCAAAATTGTTTCAACTGTAAACAAAAGAGGTTCTAAAATTCCTTGATTTATTAACTCTTATCTTGTGGATTTTTTTCCATCTAAAACTTATGCTTTTCTCCTTCTTTCTGAAGTTTGTATAGAGTGGGATTGGCAATGGAAATTTAAACAGAGTTAAAATTAATTTCATCATCTTTCTTTATAATTGGGAAAATTGCTTTGCCATAGAGAAGCAGTCTGCAGATTATGTAGGACCCTGATTCCACTTAGTGTGAGTGGTTCATGGAATGGGAAGCAGGCTAATATAGACCTATTTGGTCATTTCCCTAGATCCAATAAAAGCTTACTCAAGTGTATGGATAAGAGCGCCTTGTTGATCTGATTTGGCTTAGTATTTCCTCCTACTCCTTAGAATATCTGGAAGTAATTTCCACATCACAGAGAAAATTAGCCAGCATTTACACTAGAACACACCAAGAAACAAATATTGAGCCTAATGTTGGGAAAAGATCATTTGCTGTGCTCAGGAGCACTGAGTTTCAAAGCCAGTGACATTTATACCCCTTCTACTAAGACGGGATGAATCAGCGAGGGCTGTAATTTGGCTTCTGTGAGTGCATTTCAGCTGTCTTATTTCTTCTTCTTCCAAGAAATGAGGTCTTATAAGGAATGCCCCACACCCAAGACACGGTCTATAAATGAGCAGAGCTTTGGTGTCAAGCTGTGACATGTGAATCTTGAAAGCTACAGTATCGGTTTTGTTCCTCTTCTAAATGAGTTCATGGTGCATGAGATGGTCCACCTCAAGTTTTATGTTCTGTTACTAATCTTCTCGCCTTCATTATTCCAGATTTAACTCTTGAATTTCCCTCCTAAGAACTTCAGGGTTTTTGAGGGTAGTGTTTTATCACAGTGCAGTAGCACTTGGTCACCAGCAAGAGCATGCTGCCACTGCCCAGAGGAGTTAAAATGTAAAATCTCCAAGAAGTGTCTTACAAAAAATATACATCTTTTGAAATCTTTTGGTTTTACATTTTGAAATAAAAAAAAACACCTCCATAAAGACCAAAAAAAGTAAAATAAATAAAAACTAAAGAAACATTACAGAAGGAATTCAGTAGCTATTCACCTGTGTCAACACAGTCCAAGACTGGAGTTGTGTGAGGAGATGTCTCAGTGCTTGTGAGAAAATGCCAGGAAAACAAGACACAAGTGTTGTGACCTCAGTTTCCTCAGAACAGACTTGTCCCCAGGATATGGCTTCCTGCTACTCCCAGGTGTGGCGGATGGCAGGGAGTCTACTGCAGCTGGTATTCATCCAGCTCGCTGGAAAAACATGTGGCGCTTGTCCTTGTGATTATACACTTGATTCAGGTGACTCTTGACCCTCATAGTATGAACTTTTTGATGCTCTGGGTAAAGGTGGTCATTGTAGGAGACCTTAGTCCACCTCATGGTAGGCCCTGTTGTCCCAGGTTCACACCGCCTCTGAGAACAGTAAACAATATGACGTCTAGGGCCTTTTTCTTTCTTTATTTTCATTTTAATAGGTTTAAACTATAGAAATTCACCTATATCCCTTAGGAAAATGCTCCATGAAATGCTGGGTTTACAGGTCAAACATTCTACAAAATACTTTGTAATCGATTTTTCAAGTAAGCAGGAGAAATTTTAACCCCTGACTTTTAGCCAATAAAATCCTCCACATCAGCATTCCCTAATAACTGTACAGTAAGAGTAATCAGATTCCATGATTATGTTACTATCCTCTAAAGAGGGAACTAGATCAAAGTGACAAAGAGTTCCACTTAACTATCTATATTTAAGTGACTGATGATCTATATTTCAAATATTAATTTTATTTTTTCCAAAATAATGCTAAATGTATTGCATATTTCCCAGTCATTCTGCCATTTTGAACATGCACACAACCTGTGTTTTAGGAAGTCAAACGTTTTTTCAATGTGCTAGTTATTTGTATTGATTTGGAGAAGCAAATGTTCTGGAAATACCAACCTCCAAAGCACTTTCAAAAAACTCAGAAGTCAGCTCCAGGAGCTCCCTTCTTCTTTCAAGCATGCAGACCAGGGTTGTCCATGCTTCACCCAGAGTCTGGGCCATGGCATCATACACCTGACTTTGAGCCTTGTTAGCTTCCGCTGTCCTGTCTGCTTCCTGTAAGAGTTCCCACACACGATCTTCCAAGGCCTAAGTCCAGGAAAACAAAAGGTACAGTCAGTGTGTCATCCAGTGTAAAAACAAGGCACCCCCATTTTAAACACAGATATCTGAAACTGTATGTGATCTAGGAAGGGCTAGAAGACAATTTATAATTCATAAACACAAATCATATTTCCTCCTGCTTCCAAGTGAACATTTCTGCTCTTATACCTACAAACATGCTCTATGGGTTTTATTTTTTTCCTGATTGTTAAATTCTTCTGAAAAATCTTCACCAAAACATCCAGCAACTTCTTCCAACTCAAAATATCTGCACCTTCTCATACCACCTTCACCAGGTCTACCACTCGCCTGACCACCCAGAAAGCTTCGTAAAAGATGACCTTCCTTTCCCGTCTCGTCTCTTCCACTCCAGCTCCCTTCAGTTCCCAGGCGCAGACAGTCCTGTCACGCAGGCCACTTCTTCACAGCCTCTCCTCTCCTTCTACCTCACACCTTGTTTGGCTTCCTCCCTGGTTCGCCATGCTCCTCTCTCCTGCTCCAGGCTCTTCATCACCCACGCCCTCCTGTGTGGGAAGGCCATGCAGATCTTTCTAACTCAAAAGCAGGATCCTGCCACTGAGCAACTTGCAAATCTTTCTGACTGATTTGCGGATAAAATTCAGTCAGCACACAAGGCCTCAGTGCAGGATTTTACTTCTATTCTCACCTCTTTCCGCTTACTCTGCCATATTCTTCTCTACAGAGAATCACCCCTGACTCGGCCTAGAATCCTCTCCCTTCTAGTCACATGCCTCTCCTTGTTCCACCCATGGCTCACTTGTCTAAACAATGTTTCCCCATTGGTCAAGGCATTGGAGTGGTGGGTCTTCTATGTCCCTCAACTGTCTCTCCTGAATGAATTTAGGGCCTTAGTCTTCTAAAACTACTTTCAAGTATATAAAAAAATGTTAACAGTTTCTTCTGGGCTGGAGAGATGGCTCATCCATTAAAGGCTAGGCTCACAAGCAAAAATATAACTGTTTCTCCTGGTTACAAAAGTAACATACAGATAGTCCTCAACTCGTGACAGCGTTACGCTAGTGCCCAGAATCTGAGAGAAGACTCCTGCATACTGCCAGAGCTAAGCGGACTCGGTGGGTTCTAATAAAGAGTGAAGACCTGAAGGTGGGGGAGGGGAGGGTTGGAGGATGGAACTGGACGTAGATATGCCCAAAATACATTGAATTTGTGTATGAAACTACCAAGAATAATTTTTAAAGGAAAACATTTTAAGATGTATTTCAATATTTTTAAAAATATGCATAGCTGAAAGTTCAGTGTCCATAAAGTTTTACTCATATACAGCCATGCTCATTTCCATATCTATGGCTGTTTTTACATCACAAAAGCAGAGTTTGGATAATTGCAACTCATGGGGCAATACCATCTACAAAGCCTAAAATATCCACCACGTGACTCTTAAACAGAACAAAACATATAAGGTTACTCTCTGACCTTTAACCTTTAAGTCAGTAGGAAAGTATTTTTTAGTAGCAAATACCACATCACATGCAATGCCATGATTTACTTATTATTCTCATATTGTTAAACTCCAAACCTGCTTTCCATCTTTAACTACTGCAAATAGTGTCGGGTTAATATAATCTTCACTCTATCTAACGTCTTGTTCCTTGGCTATAGCTTTGTGGATTGCTCTCATTTCCACAAGATAAATTCTTAGTGGTGGGTAGATTCAGTGGGCATCAACATTGCAAGGCTTTTGGTACAGCCACTAGGCTGTGCCCTAGAGGATTGGCACCAATCCATGACAATGTATTTCAGTTTGCTCTTGATTCACCTGCAGTGCCTGCTAACTCCCTGGACAGCGACTTTTTGTGCTATACAATTCCCATCATGGGCCACAGTGTGAGAGTCACAGAAAGCATGTGAAGATCAAGCTGGCCCGTGGGATGGGCTGTTTGTGCAGCCTATCTCCAAACTGTAGAACAATGTTTTCTAATCCAGAGAACTCGGGAACTCAGACTGAAGGCTGTGGACCCTCAGTATGAGAAACCACTTTCTAACAAGTCGAGATTCGCTGTTCCATTGCCCCATTGTGAAACTGAAGCACAAAGGCAAGTGGAAGCATTGAAATATATCAGCTTATAAGATTTTATGATAAGCGTCATGATGTGGGATGGTCTGTATGTCAAATTGCTCTGATTGGTCAATACATAAAACACTGATTGGCCAGTGGCCAGGCAGGAAGTAGGTGGGACAGGGAGAGAGGAGAATTCTGGGAAGCAGAAGGCT